CAAGAGCAAATGGCCTCAAGATTTGCCAGGGGAGGTTTGTGTTGGATATCAGGAACAATTTTTTCACTGAAAGAGTTGTCCAGCATTGGAAGAAGCTTTCCAGGGAAGTGATCGACTTACTATCCCTTCAGGGATTTAGAGGATGTGTAGATGTGTTACTTAGACACAGAGTTTAGTGATGGATTTGGCAGTGCTGGGCTAATGGTTGGACTTGATCCTAAAGGTCTTTTCCAACCTAAATGATTCCATGATTCAGGTTTTGTTTTGTTTTTCTTTTCTTTTTGGCATTGATCCAAAGTGCAAGGAGGTAGCAAAGAGGTCAAGATTCCACCTCCTCATAGCAGAAAGGCATTAAGATGGTGCTGCATGTGCAGGTTTAAACTTGCTGAAGTCCTGTGGAAAGGACTTGTGCTAGAGCAGTTCCTGCAGAAGTGCCTCCTTGGGTAGCACCCACCACTGGAGCAGGGGAAGAGTGGGAATAATTCAGAATCCTCCCCCAGAGGAGGAAGGAGCACAATGTGTGATGACCTGATTACAGCCCTCACTCCCTGTCTCATCACCACTGGAAGGGAGGAGGTAGAGAAAATCTGGAGTGAAGTTGAGCCTGGGAAGAAGAGAGGGGTGAATCTGTTTTAAGATAATTTCTTGTTATCCTGCACTGTGTTTCGATTGGTAATAAATTCAGTTTATTTCCCCACATCAAGTCTGTTTTGCCTGTGACAGTAACTGTTGAGTTACTTTCCTTGTTCTCATCTTGACCCACAAACCTTTTGTCATATTTTCTCCTCTTGTCTGGCTGAGGAGGGGAGTGGCAGAGCAGCTTTGGTGGGCACCTGCTGTCCAGCCATGGTCAGGCCACCACACTCAAGTTGAATCATCTCCTTACAACCCCTTTCCCAGCTGAGGCCTCCCCTTGCAGTTGCCTAGGGCGTGTGTTGACACACTTTGCTTTGGCAGGGGATGGGGTTGAAAAGCTCATCTTTCCATCTCTTGCACCTACCTGGATGTCTGTGCAGCTTTTCAGGCTAAAGAAATAAGAGTTACATGGGTAGAAATGAGATTTAAATGGGTAGATAAATGCCACTGTTGGGTGCTGCTGCTTTAGGAATTGGTTGGATGGGGAGTTGAGTGACCTGGTCTAGTGGAAGATGTCCCTGCCTGTGGTGGGAGGCTGGGAACAACCTCTCTAAGGTCCCTTCCAACTCAAACCATTCTGTGATTTCTATGAGTTGCAATAAATACAACAGGTTCATCACTATTTGTTGGGTGGGGACAAGGCTGAGCTGACAGCAGGGCCAGTTGGGTTGTTCTGTCTCCTGCCAAAGGGGTTTTCCTGGAAAACAAATGAGGAAAATAAATGGAAAGTGTAAAAATGTTTTTGGAGCTTTCCAGTTAAGGAAGTGAAGGAGAAAAGATCTGAATGGGGATTCTGTAACGTTTCCACTGCAAAACCTTCCCAGCCTTCAGGACCCACAGTATAAATAAAGGTCATTTTTTTCCCAGATGTGACCTTGAACTCTTAATAGTGTCAGGACATGTATTTAATGCATATCAGTATTTAGTTCACATCAGAAACCTCATACTCCCTCTTGGGGGATCATAGTATTTTAGCATTTACTTGATGCAATCAAAGATGTTTAGTTTTTTGTTAGGCACAAGTGTACTTCACATTCACTTTCCTTCTCAGCCTTGGGTTGTCTTCCTTAGCTTGGCAGCACAGATGCACTTTTGCTTTGCTTTCTGCTGCTGTTTTGAAATTGTTTTGCTTGTCTGCTTGAGCTGCTTGATGTGTTGAAGCTCAAAACTGGAGTAGTTAAAACAACTTCCTGGTTACTTCTTTCTTTCCTTTCATAAGATAAAAAACAAAATAAAACCAGAACTGGCTGTGACATCAAATAAAATCCAGGGGCAGGGAACTGGAAGCCACATTCAGTGGTGGTTTTTTCAGCCATTCTCCAAGAATTGCGTTTTCGAAGTAATTGTTTGGAAATTCTGGCCAAAGGTTTTGTCTGCCTTGATATCTTTTTTTTTTTTTTTTTTTTTTAATTTAATTTAATTTGAGGGGGTTTTTTTTTGAGTTGTGAAGGTGATACAGTGCTCTCTGGAAGATATTTATGGATTGAGATTTCAGGCCTTCGAGGGGGAGTTCATCTTCTCACAGTCCTCTTGCATTTGATTAAAATGAATATACAAAGTCTTCATAAATTATTTCCATGTCTTCACAGTATGATCCTCACACATTGCCCTGTTGAGTTTTCCCTCTTTTCCATTAGGGAAATGGGGTACAGGGTGAGAAAAAATTGTCTCCCACCGATAAATTTAAATAAATAAATCTCACCCTCCCAAATTAGCACCTGAATTTCTGGGTAGTTTTGAACTTCATGGATCGACTCTGGACTTGAAGTGTCACTCAGTGTTTCTTTCTCACAGTGTCACAGGGACCCCAAAATGCAGGTGTACCTTCCTTGGAATCAAACTGGCAGTCCTTGGAGCGAAATTGGTGCTTCTGCAGCCCTTTGCAGCACGTGGGATATTTCATCTTTACTTCTGGGGTAGTTTGGGCTTTTTAAATGTCTCCACACCGATGGATTATGTGAACCTGCAGGAGCGTTCCCCTGTGGAAACACACTGAAGTCTGCAGTGTGCATTAGTTTGGGAGGTTTAATGCAATAATTGATGATTTGAAGGAGTCTCCAACTGTTAGTTTGGTTTCTCATGGTTCATCTGGGGCTGTGTTCAACACCTGAGTGCACATGGACCCAGGATCATTGGGTCGGGATAAAAATCTGTTAAGGCAAATTCAGTGTTTCTAAGGAAAGAATGCAAATAAAGAGGTAAAAAAACAAAACAAAACAAAACCAAAAAAACCCCACAAACAAACAAAAAAACCCCTAACAAACAAAAACCAAACAAAACCCCCGAAAAACCAAAACCAAACAAACGAAAAAAAAAACCAACCAACCAAACAAACAAACAAACAAAAAAACACCAAAAAAACCTCCCCTCAAAAAAACCCAACCAACCAACCAACCAAAAACACCCACCACCCATCCAAAAAAATCTCTGTCACAAAATGTGTGGCCCATCCCTCTCAGCACATTCAATTGGGTGTTCAGCCAAGCTGAAACCGTGTCTGCTTATCGTCCCGTTATTAACCTGGAGCGTGTCAGCACCCTGGAAATCCAAGGAAAACCTCCTGAAATGGGGGCCATCAGTGGATGTAAAGAGGTAAAAATCTTATCCTGTGCTGCTCTTTTGCCAGTGATTTAATGAGAGGTGGATCTTTTTGGTAACAAGGGAAATTCCCCAGGGATGAGGGAGCTCCAGCTCGTTTCTGGTGTTGTACAGACTCTATAAAGCAAGGGGAAGGAGTGTCTGGGACAGTTGATTTAGGACGAACTGCAGGAAGAGAAGAGTTCAGAGGTGGAAAATCTCTAGCAATGAGCCCCTGTGCATTTGGATTAAACACCCTTTAATACCCTGGATTTGTGTCAACCTGAGAGGCTGATCCATGACTTTTACAGCTGTTCCAGGGCTGAGCCCTCTCACGTGAGTGTGAGAAGCAGTGGAAAATCTGGCCTTTGGACGTGGAGCTTATCCTCAAGTGCCAGGAGGCGCATCCTCAGGACTAACCTGAGCAGTGCATCAAGTGGGGTTCTCATTTTATTCCATTTTCCCGGGTTTTTGCCTTGCTCCGTCACTGACTTTCTGCTCTTCCAAGCACAGGTTGGGCGTGTGGGTTTTTTTAACAGCTTAGGGAAGTCTGGTTGAGGGATGCAGAGTGTGTTATAAAAGCTGAAGATGTGAATCATAGCTCCTCTTTGATTCTCTGTCATGCTTTGTCTCAGAGGAGCATCTTGCTGATAGCAGGGGCTGTGTGAATGCACTGTCGGGTGTACAAGCCCTGGGGTGCTTTTGGATATGACCAAAGTTTTAGGTAGAGCAGCTTCTGGGAAGCCTGTAAGAGCTGACACAGCTGGGCAACAGAGTAGGGCTAAACCATCTGTAAAACTACCAGTTTAAACCTTCTTTAAGTGATGTATCCTTTCTCTGTAATATGGCCATAATTAATGGCCTTAAGGTGAAGGAGTGTAGATTAGATATTAGGAAGGAATTCTTTACTATAAGGATGGTGAGGCCCTGGCACAGGTTGCCCAGAGAAGCTGTAGATGCCCCTCCCTGGAGGTGTTCAAGGCTGGATGGGGCTCAGAGTAACCTGGTCTAGTGGAAGGTGTCCCTGCCCATGGCAGGGGGGTTGGAGGATTGGAACTAAATGGTCCCTTCCAACTCAAACCATTCTCTGAGTCTGTGATTCTATAGTACAGCCCAGGCCAGCCAAACTCACATCACAGGAGATGATACAGCAGTGGAGAAGCTTGGGATGGTTTCAGGGGGTTTAAAGTTGGGAAATGAAGAAATTAAGATTAAAAACAAAACAAAAAACACAGCAGCAATAGCAATTCCTGGCACTGACTCACTGCCCCTTGCAGTTGGGCTATCAGGAGGGAATAGGAAGAAGAGGAGCATCTCTTGGGGGTTAGAAGTCCCAAAAGTTTTCAGCCTCTGTAGCAGTTGCACTCTGCTTGCTGCTTCCTCCCTCTTTATGAAGGCAGGAGCTGCTCACGTGCCCTCCTGCTCTGGGAAGTGATGGTTAAGTGATGTTGTGATTGTGGTTTCTCATTCAGTTGGGGTTCTGATATTCCCACTTAAAAACCGAGCTTCCAGTTGCTAATAATTCCTACAAATGCTGTCTCAATCTTCCTTATCCACCGTGTTGCAGCAGCATCATCACTGTCCTGAGGGGCTGGTTTGCCAGTCCAGTGCAAGCTGCACAGTCAGATACTGTGTAAAACTACAGCAAACCACCCTCCCTGGGCCAAATTTCTGCAGCAGGGAGGAACCTGCACCCCTCCCCACCTCTCCTTCAAAGGCCCATCCCCATTTCAAAGCAATCAGTGGCCTCCAGTGTTAAAACATCTCTTCTGGTTTTGTCTCCACAGCCACCCAGATTGATCCCAGCGAACTGCAGGAGCTTTTTCAGGAGACTTCAGCCAACGTGTTCCGAATTAACTCCAATGGTGCGTATAATGAAAGGTTTACCAGTCAGTTGTGTGCTGTCCTGCTGATGACTCCTGTGCCTGTACAGGGTGTGTGGCAGCAACTCTTGTCACAGAGCAAATATTAATGCAGTTTTTCTGCTGCTGCGTCTCCCGAGCAGCAGCAGCACATGTCCAATACACAGTCCTTTATAAGATGTAAAAATATTCCACCATATGTTCCATTAAACAGGCACAGATATATCCCAATCCTTGCTGATACCACATCCTTTTCTATTTTTAATTGTGTCATCTGTTACAATGGGGAGTTAGAGTGCAGAAAGGTGGAACAAGCCAGACTTATTTTCTAATATGCTGCAGCACTGCTGTGTTCAGAGCCTGTCTTGTGAGCTTGCAGAACATCCATCTCCCTTATAAAAACACCAAGGCTCTTCTGTTATTCTTCACTCTGTAGACCGAGCAGGGATGCTACTCCTGCTCCTGGATCCCCAGACCCCAGAGATGCAGAGTGCTTCCCTCCTTTGGAGACAAGCTCTGGCTCATCAGTTTTGTCAGATTAGGCTGGAGGAATTTATCTTGCAGACAGATGTAAACTAACACTGCTGAATGGAAGTTGATGTCACAGTAGCCTAGTTCTCAAAATACACTAATGTCAGACAGGAATCAAAAATAATTGGTGCTGATTTGACAATAGGCCCTGAAATTGCTTTGGAATCACCAGGACACCTTCTGTGGGTGTTCTGCCCTGTGTCTATAGGGAGTGGGTGGCAGAAAGGCCTGGCCTTGGTGCAGGGAGAGGATTTTAGTGCCTCCTTGTTTGTATAATCATCCCCCAATGTGTCCCAGGGGCAGAGCCCCAATCCTTGCAGCAAGAGATCCCTGAGAGAAGAAGGATGGGGGAAGCAAAACTTCTAAAACACAATCATCTCTTCTAGAGAAGAGTTGTGTATGCTCTAACTGCCAGGAAAACTCCAGCACCAATTTTTCCATGACTACAAGGGTTTTGTGCCCCTTCTGTTGGTGACACATATCCCATGTAAACTGGGGATTATGGCCCCTGTGGGAGCTTGAACCTCCCAGCTGCCACCACGGGTACTTGGCTTGCAAGTGGGTGAACAATCACACCAGAACACCCAGAAATACCTGCAGTAGCATCACTTTTGGTTGCTCCAGCACTGATTGTTTTAATTTGGCAACCGTAGTGGTGAATGGCAGAAAATTCTGCTCCAAACTGAGGGCTCAGTCTGCAGCTTTGGAACCTGCTGGTGAGCCTGTGTGTGCTGTCACAGACACCAGCTATTATCCAAACCAACCAGGTTAGGCCTGACTTGGTATGTCTCTTCTGTAATCAAGACTCCTGTTGCCGTGGAGTTTATCCTGAGGAAACCTCAGGATGAGTGGCACATCCCTTTTTTTGAAAGGCCACAACCCAATTTCTCTTTTCGTTCTCTGTTAGAATTGCATTAGTCCATTCAATTAGGGTTTGAACAACCTCTCTTGGTCTCTGTTTCTCCTCTTGAGATGGTGATGATGTGTTTTCTGCTGAGAGTTTCCTGAGTTGAGCGCTCTGTGAAGCAGGTAATGACAGTGCCTGTACTTAAAATGCTCAAAACTACTTTGCAAAAATGGAGATGCAACTGTTTGAAGTCTGGAAACCAGACTTAAAAATCCATGCCATCCAAATTTCTGTGTGAGACATCTAACAGGACTCAACCACGGTGTGTAAGTACCTCTGTAGGAAGAAAGACATCAAATAAATAGCAAAGGACTCATTAATCTAAGGTTCTCACACAGAAAGAGATCAGGAGATAGGAGTTAAAGCTGGACAAATTCAGTCTTTCTGTGTGATGATAACTGGCCATTAGAGATGCTTATGGAGGGGACCTGATGGATTTGGCTTTGCTTGGAACCTTTAAATCAGGATCCGAATGCCTTTTTATAAGATATACTTTAGTCCAGCTGCAGTCTGGAGTCTTGATGTAGGAGTGATAGGACAAAGTTTTATGGGAGGAAATCAAATTGGATAATCAGAATTGGTCTCTCTGGCCTTTAAAATCTATGAATCTATGAATTTATAATGCCTTTTAAAGTGCTTTCAGGTTGAAGAAATGCCCATAAGATACTCCACTGTTGTTGCTCTCTTCACCACCTGCATTATTTTTTGTCTGATGAAGTCAGTTTCATTCAGCTTATGTGTGTGTTTTTTATATTCTTTCCCCAAAAAGTAGATAGAGCTTTATAGGAGAGGGATGCTAAAATTTGGCAGAGCTAAGCCACTTTAGGGAAAGAAACTTTTAGGGTTAGAAAATGGGGAAGAATGCCCGTGATGCTTTCTGCCCTTTACCAGATGAGGGGTTTTACTCCTTCTGTGCTGGGCATGGTGTGTAGAACATCCTCCAAGCTGCATAAATCACATCACAGCTCCTCTTTTCCTTCTTTTCCTGCCTTGCCCTAACCCCTCTGGGGTTTTTCAGGTTCCCCCGTTGTGTTTGGAGACCAAACCACGCACCTGAAAGGTTCTTCTCCCTCCTGGGACGCTAAAGATCATGGGATCATAGAATCATCAAGGTTGAAAAAGACCTCCAAGATCACCGAGTCCAACCTTTGACTGAGTGCCACCAAACCCACTAAACCGTGTCAACCCATTTCCAAACCCTTCCAGGGATTGGGACTCCACCCCTTCCCTGGATCAGGCTGTTCCAAGATGTCCCAAGTCGCCCATGTTATGCTGCTGTTGCTATGATTCCGAAAAATTCCAGGTTGTGGGCAATCTCAGCAGTATTTTTTCTGCCTTTGGGGGATGACTGTTTTTAATGAAACAAGAAGTCAACTTTGTACCTGGATTTTAAAGCACCATTGAATTTTATGGGGTAACACTGCACAGGTAATAAACACCGTGTGCTTTGTCCCTCTTTACACCCCTTATTCTTTTTTTTTTTTTTTTACAGAGTTCTGAGCCTTTGGGGTGATTTAAACCCTTTCTTGGGCACTTCAGGACTTGCTGCCTGACCAAGGGGGATTTTTACAGCCCCGAACTGATCGGGGCTGATCTCACTCATTAGTGATTCCTGTTCCCTTTTCCTGCTGTGAAAATGGAAATCTTCCTCATGTGTTGAATAAAAATATTAGTCAGGACAGCTGGTTCTGTTTATGTGCTACTGGAGCACTCTCCTGCCAGGTCATGAGCTTTATAGACTTTTTTTTAATGCCACAGAAGTGTGAAGGGGTAGAGAGGGAGATTTTTCCTATTCTTTGCATCTGCCTTATTTCTCTAAATCTTTTGGGGCTGTCCCTGTTGACCATAGGGAAGGTTCATAGGGTCACACAATGATTTGGGTTGGAAGGGATCTTCAAGATCACCTAATTCCAACCCCCCCTGCTGTGGGCAGGACCACCTTCCACTAGACCAGGTTGTTTGATAGTGCTCTGACTTTTGCAATTTTCATGGGTTATTTAATTTAGTTGATTTTTTTTCCCCATTAGGACGCAGAAATAAGCCAAAATGCTGGCTGAAATTGTCTTATTTATCTTTTTTTTTTTTTTCTGTGCATTTTTATCAAGGTTTTGCATTTTGTTCAGTGTACAGCTTTTAGCTGCCTCTCACTAATTGTCTGGTAAATAAGTAAAATAAATAACACCCCTAAATGGGTTGATTTGGTGCACCCTCTCTGATCAGTGGTGGAAATAGTGAAGGAATCAGACCTGTTCTGGCTAGATGGAGAACCTGAGTGCTCTAATGAGTCTCTTCCCTCTCTAATTCCTGCTACTTGCTCATTAATGACTGCACATAACAGGTTGGTGCCATGCACAGTCCCATTACCTCGATCTTAAGGGCTGAGCTCAGGTGTGATGGAGTCCCCTTTGCCATCTCACACTGGTTTCTTATCCCACATTGATTTAAGGATTGAGACTCTCAGACTCTGTAAATCAGTGCAGCTCCAACAGCAGTGCTCCCTTGTGGATGTGCCTCGTCCTGCAGGACCAGCGTGTGCCTGTTAAAAAGGAGGAGTACAAGGCTTTTAAAAGAAGATCCTTGTTTTAACAGTGGCTTCACAGCATCTCCCCAGCACAGCTTGATGTTTTGCTTCTCTGGTAGAGCTTCTGCTCACATGGTCAGGACTGGTAAACTGAGAGGGATTTTCCACACCCAGCACAGGAACTGCAGAGATTTTGATAAAGTGATTCTTGGTCAAAGCAGGTTGGATTTAGCCCAGAAGAGCTCAGACTTAATCACAGAATCATAGAATGGCTTGGGTGGGAAAGGACCTTAAAGATCATCTCTTTCAAACTCCCTACCATGGTCAAGGACACCTTCCACTAGACCAGGATGCTCAAAACCCTGTCCAGCCTGGCCTTGGACACTTCCAGGGATGGGGCAGCCACAGCTTTTCTGGGCAACTTGTTCCAACGCCTCACCACCCTCACAGTCAGGAATTTCTTCCTGAAACATAATCTAAACCTTCCTTTAAGTCCCTTTAAGCCATTATCCCCTGTTCTGTCACTGCAGACCCTGCTAAAAAGACTCTCTCCATCTCTCTTGGAGCCCCTTTAGACACTGGAAGGGGCTCCAAGGTCTCCCTGGAGCTTTCTCTTCTCCAGGCTGAGCAATCCGAGCTCCCTCAGCCTGTGTCCATAGGACAAGAGCTCCAGCTCTCTGAGCATCTTTGTTGCCACCTCTGGACTTGCTCCAACAGGTGCCAGAGGTGATCACAGTGTTCCAGGAGGGGGTCTCATGGCATGAGAGTGGAGGGGGGGAATCACCTCCCTTGATCCACTGGCCACTCCTGTTTTGATGCAGCCCAGGCCATGGGTGGTTTTCCTGAGATTCAGGAGTCTTAGTCCCACTATGTTCCAGGTAAGAGCTGCACCAAATGGTGACCTTTGACTGCCCATCTTGTCATTTTGGGATGACTGACCTTTATGTAAGTGTGTAAATGCTATGTTCAAATTGGAATATTGGGTAAAAATATTGGATAGGGACTTAAACCTGAGTCACTCTCTCACCTGACTGACAAGTGCTCTCCTTTTCTCTTGCATTCATGGATCAGATTCTTTTCCTTTTATGTTTAAGTTTTCCGAAATCCTCAACAAATCTGATAGCTCATGGATTTGCCTCAGTGTAAAATGATGTGTGTGTGAATTTTTGAATGGTGTTTTACAGTAGAAAATCTTCTCCAAAGCAGGCAGTAGCAAAACTCACTTTGTTTTGTCCTGATTTTTGCAGGCCAGGCTGGGGAGGTTCGTGGATGCTCCAGCTGCTGATTTTCCTTCTGGAGTTATACACATGACATTAACAAGTTCTTACAAATTCAATGTCCGCATAAGTCCTTTGTTTACCTTGACTTTACCATTCTCCAAGGACCACACTCTGCTTTTTCCCAAGGGTAGGGATGGGCCCAGAAGTATTTTTAGTTGAGGCAAAATTTTGTATTTGAAATGGAGGGCATACAGATTGCATGGGAGATTGATTTTTTTAGGATTACAGAGAGAGGAAGAGAAGGAATTATAATATCCACGAGATCTCTGCAGGATCAGATCTGTTCTTCTACAGAAGCAAATGATTATTAGTGAAAAATTCCAATTTATTCTTTAAAACATTGTGCTCCCTGCAAAGAAGAATAATTATTAGCTCAGTTATAGACAATTCCTTGAGGCTTTATCTTACTGAATCTCCAAACTCTGCACTAAAATCTGTTAGAGAGATCTAGCATTTGGGGTAGAAATATATGGCTGTGTTCAAGGTTTGTTTGAATATTCGTGTTGTCCAGGCACATAAGTTACTTTTTGTACTATTTAGTGACTTTTGGTGTCAAGCCAGTGGAGCCGAAAAGAGAGGAGAGGATTTTGTCCGTCAGTGGAAATATAATTAAGTGGCTTGTTCAAAGTTATAGGCCAAGCCCAAGTCTGCAGAGTCATTAAAACAGAGGATTTCTTAAATTTCTGCAGAAATAATTGAGCCATGTTTCTAATCTGCTCTTCTTTCTTTCCTTAAATATTGAAGCGTGACTGATAACGGGTGATGAGTTTTTACAACTGGGAGCGTCCTGAGAAAAATCCCACATGTAAATATCAAGAATGTAATTTATTTAACGTGTTCCACTGCGGAAAAATCTTCAAATGCTTTTCCGACTTGCTGTGCTAAGTCCAAAAGTAGTGACCTGTTTTTTTTAATTTGGAAGTGAATTTGAGACAGTGAAATTCAACAGTGTAAAAAAGACAACTATGCTCCTGGTTTTCTGTTACTTTTATATATTCACAAACACACACACACATATATATATTTCTTAAATCTGAGGTCATTAAAAGCAAAGCAAACCATATTTCCACCTTCCTGGTGCCCTTAGGGTAGAGTATCCTCCTCTCCTGATGGAAAAGCCCAAGTATTCCTCCAGCTCCAGCACAGGAGATGATCACAGAGAAGGGCTCCATTTTAGAATAGAAACAGAAAATAGAAATAGAAAAGATTTTGAGCGTTAAGGCCTTGAAAGAGAATGAGGAAGAGTGAACATCAATGTTCTGCTTCTTAATTTTTATTCAGAGCAACAAACAGTTATTATGCAATTTCTTGCCTCTTCACCGGGGGCACTTTTCCAGCTGGAGATGCTCCACGCACAGCTCTGTGCCATCCCAAGGCTGGAAGAGTCAGAGATCCATGCAAGGTCCTTGGGATGGAGGTTTTTTTGCTGTTACAAGGGGTCATATTCCATCATGTTGTGGCACAGATCCATGGATTCACCATTTGTGCATCCAAGGAACTGAGTTTATCCATTCTGGGCTAATGGCTGCTGTTGGATGTTGTCCCCTTTGTCTCATGGGTTACTTGTTCAAATACTTCACTGTATTTTTCAAAAAAAACAACATAAAATAACAGACAAACAACTGAACTAAAATCCAGTATTTTTTTTTTCCCTCTGGAAAAGTGTCCTGCTGCTTTATCTTTTCTTTCTCTGCTGTTGACAGTGACCTCTCTGGAAAGAAGTCTTCGATCTCTGGGGACCTCAAACGATACTCAAGAGCTGCAGGATGGACTGTGAGTCTATTTTAAATTGCTGCAGATCTTTTTTTGTCCCAGCCTTTTCATTTTTTCCCTCATCTATCCTCACCTTTTCTCCAGCCCTTTTATTATATCTGGGCATTTTTTTTTCAGGCTCACTTCTTTTTTATTTTTTATTTCTGTTTGTGATTAATGGTGGTAGGATGTGTATTGATCCTACAAACCTTTGCTTGTGTTGGTTTCAGGTGGCAGAGAATGGTGGTAGATAAAGAAAAAGATTACCCACAGTGAAAGAGCTTTCTGAGGGTCTGTCTGTGTTGTTATTTTTTGTTGGTTGTTGTGGGTTTTGTTGTTGTTGTTTGGGGTTTTTGATTTGTTTTTAAAGTGAAGCCAGAGTAGGATGCTGTGGTGGTTTTGGCTGGGATGCAGTTGATTCTCCTCATAGTGGTGAGTAGGAGGCTGTTTTGGATTGGGGATAAAAGCAGTGTGGATAACCCAGGGATGTTCTGGTTGTTGCAGAGCAGTGATTACACAGAGTCAAGGCCTTTCCTGCTCCTCTCCCCACCCCACCAGTGAGTGGGGAGTGAGGGAGTGGCTCTGTGGGGTTCAGTTTCTGGCTGGAGTTAAACCACAACACATGTTTGTACAGCTTTTCCTTTTCTTTTACCCCTCCTCCACTTTGCCAAAGTCCATGAACCCAAGAGAAAAGAGAGAAAAAGGGACTTTTGACAAGGGCATGTAATGATGGCACAAAGAGGAATGACTTTGAACTGAAAGACAGCAGGTTTAGATTGGATATTGGGAAGAAATTCTTCCTTGGGATTGTGGGGAGGCCCTGGCACAGATTGCCCAGAGAAGCTGTGGCTGCCCCATCCTTGGAAGTGTCCAAGGCCAGGTTGGATGGGGCTTGGAGCAGCCTGGTCTAGTGGAAGGTGTCCCTGCCCATGGCAGGGGGTTGGAACTGGGTGATCTTGAAGGTCCCTTCCAGCCAAAATCATTCTGTGACTCCATGAAAGAAAAAAAGAAGGAAGAAAGAAGAGGATATTTCACAGGTGGAGAAATGTGTTGTGGGGTTGAAAGCTGCATCACAGCATCCCAACACTGACAAAAGGAAACTTCAGCTGCAGTTGCAGTAGCTCCAGTTCATTAAACCCCCTCTCCCAGAGCTGTGTACACACAAACACGCACAGTTGGCTTTCACTTGTCATGTGCTAATTAGAGAATTAAAATGGCTCTTCCAAACGTAGCCCAGTTTATTAAAGATGCCTCTCTTAATGCAGCTTGCAGGCAAAAATCAAGTGTTTAGGATGTGGCTCTGATTTCCTGTGTGTGACAAAAGTTCCTGCTGAGGTTTGGCTGTGAAGAAAGGGGAATTTGGGGTTTATTTCTTTATATTGCCTCTATACAGCTGCAGTTTGCCTGATGGACCTGACTGACCTTCTCTGTGCAATATAAACTCTCAGACTGGTTTTCAATCTTTCTTCTCTCTCCATTGGTTTCCTCCGGGCATCAGATCTGCCCTGATTCACATCTAGTCTAGTTTTGCAAACCAGAGGATTAAAAATAGTAATAGTAATAATAGTCAGAAGATTTGAAAGTAAATTTAGGAGATTGGAGAGGATATAGGAGCACAGAGTCAGTCTGTGGAGATCGATGTAATCAGGAAAGATGTTTACATGGACAAAATTATTTGCAGCACAAACCACCTTAATCACTGGAGATCCTTAGCCCAGGAAAGCCTTGTATCACACAGCTATTATGTTTTCTCTCCTAAATTACTCTTTTTTTTTTAATTTAAGAATCAATTCCTTGACTCTTCAGAGCACTCCAAAACCATGGCTTGATAATTTCCTTCTTTCCTGAGCAGTTACATAAATAGGCACTAATAAGGCACTAATTGCACTAATTATTTTTGATCTCAGAATTATCATTAATTGTCCAGGTAGTTGAGTGCAGCTTATTTTTATTTTAACCATGCTTGTCTACCCCTCTTATCAGCCCCAGAAATTCCTCCAGCTGTCTCCTGGTTCATCCCTTCTCCCCATTCTCCAGCAGGTCTCTCCTGGTTCCTCCCATTTGGTTTGTTGTATCTCCAGAACAAACAGTTCCAGGGTGTTCTGCAGAGCAGGACCAGCAGCTCTTTTCCCCTCAATCCTCTCCTAGAACTGAGATGTCCTTCCCTTGCCCCCTTTTCCAGGCAAACAGCCTTGAGTGCTCTACAGGAATCTCTGTTTCTCCTGAGAGCTGCACCAGCAGAAAGCAGCACCCCATGAATCACAGAGCTGGCAGTGCTGATATATCTCTTTTCAGGGGGGTCAGCTCTTCAGGTGAGACCTTTGGGGCAGCGTTTTCTGCTTCCCCAGCCGCAAATCATGGCTTAATCTTCCTCCTTTGCCACTTGACCCCTTTCCTTCAGAGGTTGATGCATGTTTCTCCTTGAACACCCTCTAACTTGGGAGATGGGAGCAGGGAGTGAACATTTGGTAGGTTTATAGCCTTGGCTATTAGGGAAACGATGATGTTTGTGGGTATCTGAAGAGTAAAATTGCCACGCTTTTGTACTTTCTTATTAAGTGACTCTTACTCTGCCTAAAATGAGGCTGTTTTGCAGATGAGGGGAGGCAGAGTATTTGGGAATAGGGATTAATGATGATCCTGCCACACAGGGCATTCAGCTGCTATGGTTTCTATTCTTGCTTACCTGGCTGCAGGGTCCTGCTAAAACACAATAAAACCAAAGTTACCTGATTTCCTTTTCAAATTCACCCAGACTTTCTGCCTCTTAAGCACAGGGCTCACGGAGGCATCAGATGAAGGCAGATTTCTGACTGTCAAACTGGGCTATTCCCTTCTCTGAAATGGTTTCTCTCCTTTTGAGAGCTGAGTCATTCAGAATAAGGGTTGTGTCTGTGGCGAGTCAATTTGGGAGAGTTCATCCCCAGTGGAATGCCAGCTCCAGTCAGAGAGGCTGACTTGGCTGCTGAGGTGAGCAGGGTGTACACGAGACCCAACTGTGGATGATCCTGGTCTAAAAAATCAACTGGTTTGTTTTCTGGGATGAGGGGGGATTCTCCATCATTAGGCACTGAGGGGAACTGGCTTTTAATTTAGGCAAATCAAACTGAATGCCCAGGTCGAGCAGTGACAGTGAAAACCAGTCTCTTTATATGCCTGGTTAATCTCTCAACATCCTCCACAAACTGGCTGGAAATTAAAGCATCCCTGTAACCTGGACAATGCTCTCTGAGAAGTATGATAGAAGGAGGGAAAAAAAACAAAAAAAAACCCCAAAAAACCAAACAAAGCTTTCATTTTTTTCACCACCTGACCCTGTCTTATTGTGATCTCAAGAGAAGTGGCCATGCAGGCTGCAAGTAGCACTTGTTGGCTACCTGGAGGCCACAAGACCGAGCTTTAAGTGGCATGAAGGGGCCTCGATGTCCTTTCCATGGGGGCTGGCTGGCCATGGCAGCAATCCATGCTCTCCAAGCCAGGCTTCCAGCATCCCTCACCTCAGTGAGGGGTTTGATTCCTTAATGGTATTAAGACAAGGGTATTTGCCCTTGTCTCGCTGCAAGGTCAAGGGCAGCAGAGCAGTGACTCCATCATAGCTTATTACCCATTTTCAGGTGGGTCTGGGATGTAGCCCAAGAGTCTTAACTCTGTGGCACCTTTGGATGCTTTACAAGCCACTGGCAGAAGCATTTCCCTGTTTAAGGAGGAGTTATAAGAAGGATATTTTGGGGGCTTTTAGCACTGATGAGATTTGCTAAAAAATGTGTTGATTTCTCCTGATTTGAGAAAGAAAGCCTTTTAGCTTTCACCTCCCTTCTCCCATTGGCATTTAAAAAGTGAACATTTTTGAAATACGTGGGATTTTTTGCCTGCACCTGAGAGAGGCCTCAGCTCTACATCTGTACAGTGTGAGAAAATAAAGCTGCTTTTCTCATTGAACTGATGCACAGTCCTGGCTAAGATGGTGCATGAAAAAGAATTCCTATGGCCACAAAGGAGTTTCAGAGTATTTTCCACATAGGAAAGCTCAGTTTGAGATCTGAGCTGCTTCAGGGTGAGACAAGTTCAACTGTTCTGGAAGAGACTGAAAGTTCAGCTTTTGTATTGTTGCTCTTACCTGTGTTTTGGACAAAAATTAACCTCACAAGGCACCAACTTTCCCTGGGCATGCAAGGTCTATTAAAATGCACGTATGGATTGCTGGAATTAAAGGGAATTCCATCTTCCTCACCCTTCCCCAGGAAATTTGCCATGCCACCTGAAAATTTTTTGGAGTGATGAGTGAAAACACCTCTGAAGTTTATTTTGCCACCACATAATCCTAAAATCACTGGATCTCTTATGGTGAAGCATTGACAGTTTGGGATGCTTTTGGGAAGAGAAGCATCCCTGGACGAGCTTGAAGCCACTATGAGCAGCAGGAGTCAATCAAACTGTGGCAACGAGCTCTTCAGTGCTCTCAGACTCAGTCTGAGGAGCTTTGCTGGGTTTGCAGAAGCACTTCTGAAATCCTGACATTCGGGGTATAGTCAGTAATTTGGAGATGGACTGGACTGAGCTGTGAGGTTTGTGTGGCGCAGGTTGTTCACACCTTCACGTGGATAAGACACCAAAAGGAGGTGCCTCCGTCATCCCAGCCCGTGGTGTCTGTCAGGATTCAGCTCATCCCGAGAAGGCCACAGAACCATGGAATGGTTTGGGTTGGGAGGGACCTTAGAGACTGTGTGGTTCCAACCCCATCCTGCCATGGGCAGGGACACCTTCCACTCTCCCAGGTTGTTCCAAGCTCCCTCCAACCTGGCCTTGGACACTTCTAAGGATGGGGCAGCCCCAGCTTCTCTGAATCTGATGAGGTCGTTTCCCGTCAGGGTGAGTGATTAAGACAACTCCGTTGCTTCCCACCTAACTCATGTTACACCAGGAAATGCAGTAACCCTTGGCTTTTTGGGGAGAGCTGTAGGATCATTTGTGCCTTAGCTGGACCAAAGTGATCTTTGCTCATTCCCGGTTCCTCTGTGTGCTCCAGGGAGGATGAATGGTTGTCCTTATGCCTTGGAGCCTCACCAACCTGCTGCAGAGGTGGATGAATCCATGCCCCTCAGCTTTTCTGAATAGACATGAAACAATAAAGGCTTTTTTTCTTGGTTCATTTTATCATTTTTGTGTATTGTTTCCTTTTTCATTCCCTATTTTACCATTATGTTTGATATGTTGGAGGTGTAGCTTAAACATTTTTTTTTTCTTTTTTTTAAAGCTTCTGTTAAAAAGGTTTTAATTCCTCTGGAATGCAGATTCATTTAGAGCCGAAAGATATTTTAAAGTCATAATTTACTGAAAGAAGATTTGTTCAAGCAAATCAGACAGAAGCTTTTAAGTGTCAGCATGTTTAATTAAGGGTAGGATTTAATAATATTTTATATGGTTTTGTTGTACTGCTTGTATAAGCTTACCAAAAAAAAAAAAAAAAAGGAAATGATTTCCATAAATATTTTGAAACATCGTTTTGATTCCTCTAATATGTTAAACCCTTCAAAGTAATACCTTCCCTGTTCAACTCAAAGCAGTCGGATTAACTTTATCTATCCTCCATTTATCGCTGCTCCCATCAGTTCCTGACAAGAAAAACCTTCTAGGTTTGGCAGGAAAAATGGGTTGCCAGATTGCAACATTTGCATTTAACTGTATAATACACTCGCTGCGTTAATAACTGTATTTATGTGACAGATCTCCCCCTTAAGAATCCCAGAGCTCCAGATACGTGACAACCCTGTGATAAATGACAAAAGCTGGGGATGAACTGCAGAACTCTCCAATGATGATAAATTCATCTGCTTTTGACCGCCTTCCCTGCTTAGAGAGGTCCTTGGAGTATCCCCTCACATGCCTGAACAGCTTCTAATGGTCACTACAAATCAATCTGTCAGAGGAGTTTTTCTTTCCGGTGTTTTCCTCCTGGATTGTCCTTGCCAGAGGTCTGAGGTGGCCAAAGCAACACTGGTTTCCCACGTCAAAGTAGCCTTAGGACATGGGCCGTGAATTTTAAACCCTGTAGTGATGGAGCAATGATTACTTGCTTGTGGCAAGTGATGGATGCTCCAGGAGATGCAGGATGGGGACAAGGGAAGACCAGCTCGCTTCTCTTGTCCTCACTCCATGCCACCCTTTGGTGCCCCAGGTGAAACCTGGATGTTCCTGTGGCCTCCCACGTTCATGGGAGAGGGAACACCTAGGATTTTGTAGATGCTCGTGGTCCAAAGGAACAACAGAAGTCAGAGGATCCACAAAAGCTTGGAAATCACACACTTGGCATGGAAATTGGTATAAGTTAGTCCCTCATATCCTGGTGTGGGCACAAGGCAGTGGGATTTGGGTAAAGGATAAAAAGGAAGAGAAAGAGATGGATTAAAGAGAGGGAGAGAGGGAGGGAGGAAGGGAGGAAGGGAGGAAGGAAGGAGGGAAGAAAGAAAAACCGAAAGAATAAAAGAAAGAACGAAAGAATGAAAGAATGAAAGAACGAAAGAACGAAAGAACGAAAGAAAGAAAGAAAGAAAGAAAGAAAGAAAGAAAGAAAGAAAGAAAGAAAGAAAGAAAGAAAAGAAAGAAAAAGTCTCATCCTGCTCTTTCTCACAGTGAATTTTAACCAACAATCCTTGCTCAGCTCCACAGCCATCCAGCCCTGAATGTTTGAGACATCCACATTACCTTTTTGGCTTCTCCAGCTCCCATTTTGGAAGCCAACTTGATCCTCCAGAGAGAAACTCTGTTTGTAGCATGAAAATTTTCCACTCCCAGAAGTGTAACTGGATATTCCTGTGCGTAAAAATGCTGCCATGTTTGGTCTTTTCATAAATTCATTCTTAGATGTTTATCCAGGAAATGCTGATTTCACACTGATGTTGTTCTATTTTTTGTTTGTTTTTATGGGTGACAGAAGGAGGAATAAATAAGTAGAATAAAATGTTCCTTCTCTTTTCATCTCTTAGGCCACCATGAAAGTTTTTCTGATTTTTCACAAGCCTTTCTGAGATGAATCATTGAAAAATATGCAATTTTCCCTTCTTAATGTTACCAAAATAGTAGCTTTTTAGTTTGGAGTTAATTTCTTTTGCCATTTTCCTGCATTAGAAATGAAATATGGTATTTGATTAGGTTAAAAATTGGCATTTCAAGTCAACAGAGAAAAGTTCATCCTCCCTCACCTTGAGAAACAAACCAACTTCAAATATTTTGCCTCTTTCTTCCTGCAGAATTAGACACAGTGCAGGCCAAGTTCCCATTCTGTTAGCACAGCCTGCAGAGGGCAAATAATTGTAGATTTGAGGAGAAATATCCGGGGGCAGGAAGTTTACCTAATGACTTTTGATCCTGATTGGAGTGACTTCCCTCTGGGTTTTCGTGTACTGGTTTTGTAAAATTTTTAGACCGAAGGAAAAATAAAATTCTTGAAGGGGGAGGACAGTGGAAGCAATTAGTGTCCTCTGCAAGGTTTGCTGGGCTTGAGGGGTGGGGGGGGAAGAATGAAAACAAGTAGGGTCCAATCTCAGGGAAGAGTGGGAGGATCCACCAAGCACTTGCTTGCAGGACAAGTCACTCTGCACTTTTTCCCTGCAGTGCTCTAAGAGATGATTCCTTTCACACCATTCTCCAGGAGGAATAAACCCTCTGAGCAGACACCCATCTACTGAAGGGGGCACAGCAGGGGTTAAGCAAATCTTCAGGCTGTTTGTGTGGACGTTGGGAGTTTTAGTTGAGTTAGTTTTTGGAAAGTAACACTTTAAACACTTCCGGAGAGCAGGAATGGGAGAT